AGGATGCGGCCGATGATGATGGTACGTCCTGGCCGAGACCACAGTGTGTTCCATAGTAGCAATGAGGCTTCCCTCAAGTGACTGCCATGGGTTCAGTCAGACTCGGTGGGTATCCATCCAGCAGGTACATCCGGAACGTATCGGCGTACACTGACTACCCTCCTCACATGTCTCGATGGAGTAGATGCCGATGTGGAGGAGTCGTTGGCGGTGGTCGCTACCTCGACTATCTCACCGGAGAGGCTGGACCCAGCAGTCGTCCGTCCAGGTATGATTGCCGGCTAGGTTGGCCGCATGAAGTGTGGGGAGATATGCACATGGTCGAATACATGTGTTGGTGGCAATGTGGAACTGTTGGGAATTTCTCGCTGGTTGCTGTACACTTCTACCCGAATTCGTATGTCAAAATTTAGTGAGGAAAGCGAACATATATTCCTCCAACGCTGATCGATGCTGATGTCCTCCCTATTCTCAGGCCGCTTCGACAAGTGGATTGAAGTTCATCGAGTAAATCTCAACGATGTGGTCACTGATGAGGATTTGCCCCAAAATGAAACGTTTCTTCCCTGACGCTCGCCTTGGTTGAGTTCCTTTGCAGCAGCCAAGGGCATCGTGTTAGCGCTTACTGCTTATGGTTGACTGCCCGCCCACCTCCTCCCCATGCATCTCCTGTGACACAGCCGGTGCCGTGTGTACTCCCCACGATGATTATAATGGTTCCTACAATAACTATCCTCGGGGTCTCTTTTGGGCCCCTAGGGGAAAACATCTAGTGTCCTACTTCGCTGACAATACCTGTCGTATATTCGATGTAGACCAAGGACTGTCTCAGCCTATACGAACCGCGCAGGCCTCGGGGACCATAACTGCAGTGGAGATGTGCCCATTAGGGGCTGAGTGAGTACAGCCACGGCAGGCCCTTCACTGAATCGTCTTTCAGACCGGCTGATTTCCACTATGCAGTTTCGGTGAGAGATCGGCCGATTCACCTGGTCAACCTCCTCACTGGAGAAGTGGCCGCGAGGTGGGTCCGCGGCTCGCGCTTTATCTAGCTCAGTGTCGCCATCACAGTTACCAAGGCTACTCCCTCACTGATGAGGTTAGAGCCGCCTCGTGTCTGGCTTTCTCCCAAGACGGCTCGCGTTTGCTCGGTGGTGTCGCGGGACAGCCTCAAGTGTGGCTGTGGGACCTCACTCGTCCAGGCAAGAGCGCCTATCATCGTGTACCACACATCCTTCTAGGTGTCCCCAGTGCCATGGCTTCATGTTAGGTCTTATCAACTCGCAAAGGGAAGACCGGCCAGCGTGGGATCGTCTCGGCAGCGGCTTGGGTTGATGACAAATGCTATGCCTTGGGAACCTACAGCCGGTGAGTGTGTTTTACCTTTACCCCAAGGGGCTAGGGTGCTTCACTCAGTTCTATTGGTATATATGATGAACGCCAAGGGTCCAAGAGAAACGCCAAGTGTGTGAAGATGTTGTCGGCCCCAGATGGCGGTGGGATCACCTCCCTCAAGTGAGCTGACCCTCCTCCCTTGCACGCGAGCCCCTGTGTATCATCGTTTGGCCAGGTTGTCTCCCCAAGGGTTGCTGGTCAGTGGTCATCGAATGGACACTTCAATGCGGGTGTGGGACTTGAGATCCTCCGGTGTGGAACCCGTGACGATGTTGCCTCGCGCGACCAAGACCAATCAGCGCTTCGACTTTTCCTTCCTGGGCAATAGTCGGATTCTCGCAACTGGTGACGATAGTGGTCATGTCCTTTGGTAACGCCCTCGCACTCACTGCTGTTCTCCCACACGCATTCTTCCGCAGGTACGATACTCTCACTGGGGACTTGCTGGGCAAATGCTGTGTGGCGTCTTCGGGGGCTCCGTGCATTGCCGCTCAGATAGAGCCTGTCAGCCTCAGTAGACTCGCGGTGGGGACGGGGCAGAGAGTGTGGCCCACGTAAGTGGACGCAGCCTACCAGTTTACCATGGGCTATCACCAATCGCTACAGATACGTCTCAATGGGCGACGATGACAACACAGAGTTGCTACAGCCCAAGACGGACAATAGGGTAGCTGTAGTGAATTTCAGTGCCCCCGAAGGTCTCCTCTCGACCACCTTGCCAGCTGCTGTCCCGACTCCTATCGAGGCCCCGTTCCAGCATGACCAGCCCATCGTGGGTTCTGACTCGGAGGAAGCCGCGGCCCAGGTGTCTGAGCTGGCCGAGCCTCAGCCTGTGATCATACCGGAGGCTTTCAAGGGTCTACCGCCCCCACCTGGAGTGATAGCGCCCCCTTGTAGTGCTCAAATGCCCTGTAATGAGAATCATGAAGACCCTGCTGATTCCTCGCCTCTGGAGGGCCAAGCCGAGGCCGGACCAACTACTGCAATCGGTGATATCGACATGGCGGATGCTACCGAGCCTTGACTCCTCCTAACGTATCCTAGTGCTACTACTATATACTATTCACTGTCTCAATCGCTTGAGCTGTTTCTGGTAAAAGCTTGTGGTCGAGTTCACTGGTATTAGGTCAGTCATCGTGCCCCCGTATAGGTATAGTAAAATTCAATATTGCAGCCAACGCCTCCTCAGCGAGCTCGTCCGACTTCCGAGCGAGGTTCATAGAGCCGTATCAGTTTCAACACGGCAACAGCATCATCCTGTTGCATCAGAGGTACGCTATCACTCACTGCAGGCTTGAATCCTTTACTTCTAGAGCCCCCTCATTGGCTGCATCGAACCCTTCTGAAGGACT